TTAACGATCATTATATCATTAGAATATATTTGTAAGCAGATCGATTACAAAATGCTGATAAGCATCTGTAGGTACGTAATTGTACAATATTGACGATATTCACTAATTTCGTGGTCCGCTTGACCAATTAAAATCATTACAATTAATTAAGGTTTTTAGTTGAGATGAAAAAATTTAATGGCACGAGAGGGATTCGAACCCACGACCTTCGGCTAGATACGCCGCTGCTCTACCACCTGAGCTATCGTGACCTCGATCCACTCGGACATCAACTNTGGGGAGTTGATGTCCGAGTGGATCGAGGTCACGATAGCTCAGGTGGTAGAGCAGCGGCGTATCTAGCCGAAGGTCGTGGGTTCGAATCCCTCTCGTGCCGTTAACTTTTTTTCATCTCAACTAAAAACCTTAATTAATTGACGATATTATTGCAATATAAAATGACTTGACTAGATATAGATGTTATTTTCAGGTATAGTATGCTGTGCCCTTTAAGATTTATTCCCTCGTACTCTGCCTAAATCACATCAGTGAGTTCTATTTCATCAAGAAACTTGATAAATAGGCTTGGTTTCAGTGGTTGAAGCTCTTTTATGGTCACATTATACATCCCAAAACACTTCCTCCTGCGGGCTAGTGTAGCTCCGCAGTTTGTTAGTAGATGTGTTCGTGTCTCCTCTGCCTCTTTGCGGAATCTGCATGTGCCATCTTGGATTATTCCTATCTTCTTTAAGTGTCCATTTAACTTGCAGTGTCATGTTAGGAATCCTATTAGGCTTCGCGGTTTGTTCCTGCTTCCCTTGACACATTCTGTACTTTTTTTCTTCCAAAATTGGTTAGGAGATTCTTGGCTTGTCTGTGTCCAATGAGTGAATTCCACAGTTCCTTCATTTTCTTTTTGTCCTTCTGAAATACTTGTTAATAATGTGGGTTCCTATGCCACAGAAGGTTCAGGTCCTATCAGCGATGTAGCAGCTCCTTGCCATGCAAGGGTGTCCACTTTCTCGTTGCCTTCTGCTCCCATATGTCCTGGGCTCCAGCAGAGGCTTTGTTCTGCGTACCTAATATGTTTATTTTGGTTTTGCAGTTCAGCACCATCCTTGAGCTACTGATATTTGAGCTTAGTGCTTTGATGGCTGCTTGGCTATCTGACATGCCTATATTCTTGTTTTTGTACCCTTTCTTAGGTTGAGTTGGGTACATCTGTGGATTGCGTGAATCTCAGCTTGGTAGATACCAGTGTATTTTCCCATGGGTTCTGAGTATTTGGTTCCAGGTCCAAATGACTTGACTACATCAATCTTAATGATTTTAACATTTTGAAACGATATGACTTCAACGGAAATCTGTTTCTATTTCGTGATCTTTTTTTGACAATAACTGATGCTTCTAAAACAATTTCCATCGGTTTGTTGTTCAAGGATCTTCTTCGATGGATGTCCGCATGTTTCAACCGTCCCTACCGTCTCTTTTGGGAAAGAAGAAAATCTCAAAACTGAGGCAGTTGTTTTGATAATTTTTTTCTGTGGTGGGACTAAATTAGTCAATACAGCCAAAACACATATTGTTTAAAGCGTGGGTTCCATTTTATTTCCATGTATATTTGTCTGTGTAATAAATTTTATTTGTATTTGTAAAAATTGTTATATTTCATAATAAGAAATTGTGCGGGGAATTGATGTATGAAGGGTTGAAGGAATAGCGGAAATTCCGACCTTGTACACGTCGATAAACCTGTTATGTATTTAGTGATGAAGACCCCGTTCGCCCGTCATTATTCTCTCGGATCCATCAGAAACTTTTTATATTACTGTAAAGTAGTTTGTGCTCTCGTCGTACCCTCGCGATACCGTGCCATCCATGGGGGCGACCCGATAAATATAAATAGACCTTACGACGGTAAGGAAAACTAGGCGAAACTGGAAAGAACGAGGGGCGGAAGGGCCAAAGCCCCCAAGGAGAAATACAAATACAGCACGCGGTAAACAAGTCCATCTCGAGGGCACGTAGTACTTTGGAAATTTAATTTTCCGAATTCTAACTCCACGTTCGGAGAGTTAGAAGTTTTAAAGCAGTTACCTCGCTCGCTTCACCAGCCTGAATCCGACGATTCTAGATTTGAAATGTCTGCCGGAAAGCTCGGCATTCTTTTACAGATAACAGTATTAATTAAAACAAAGGAACCCAGCGATATGTGGAAGTTAATGAACTATACAGATAAACAAACACTTCCCATGGTTTAAATCTTCCTCAATCACACTCTCTCCATCTCTATCTTTTTTCTCCCTCTTTCTCTCTCACTCTCTCTCACTAACACTATTTCTCACTTTCTCTATTCATTTACTCTCTCTCTCTCTCACTCTCTCTCTCTCTCTCTCTCTCTATTCATTTACTCTCTCTCTCTCTCTTTCTCCTTCTCTATCTCTCTTTCTCACTAACACTATTTCTCACTTTCCATATTCTTTTACTCTCTCACTCTCTCTCTCTCACTCTCTCTCTCTCACTCTCTCTCTCTCTCATTAACACTATTTCTCACTTTCTCTATTCATTTACTCTCTCTCTCTCACTCTCTCTCTCTCTCCCTCTGTATCTATCTCTCTCTCGCTTTCTCACTAACACTATTTCTCACTTTCCATATTCTTTTACTCTCTCTCTCTCTCACTCTCTCTCTCTCTCTCTCTCTCTCTCTCATTAACACTATTTCTCACTTTCTCTATTATTTTAGTCTCTCGCTATAACACTATTTCTCTCTCACTATACTGCTGTCCAAATCATTAAAGAATCTTGGTGTCAGTGGATGAAACATTGTCTTGGTCAGAACAAACCATCGATATTTGTAAAAAAACTTTCCAAAGCCTTTGTCAGCTGCGAAAAATACAGATTGATCTTCCACCTGAGGTAAAATTACAAATTATAAAATCTATGTTGTTCCCAATCTTCGATTATGCTTCCCTATAATATAAGTAAAAAAAAAATTAGAAAAACTACAAAAAGCACAAAATGCTTGTATAAGTTATGTTTATAATATCGAATACTTTGATCATGTCACACCGTATTATGCCAAAGGGAAAATTTTAAAAATTAAAGAAAGAAGAGCACTAATACTCTCGATGTTCTTAATAAAATTATTAAAAAGACAAAATCCATCATATCTGATAAATAACTTCAAATTGTATAAGCCTACCCATGACTAGAATACTAGATATGATAAACATAAATTTATATTGTCTAAAACCAGAACTGCAATCTACAATGCATCTTTTCTAGTAAAAGCAATCAATAATTATAATAAAAACAACCTGTACAATTGACTACTTCTTCCATATGTAAAAGCGAAATCTATATTAAAAGAAGAGTTCCTGACAAAATACAATAATAGATAAAAATGTCTCTCTCTCTCTCTCTCTCTCTCTCTCTCTCTCTCTCTCTCTCTCTCCCTCTGACTAACACTATTTCTTACTTTCTCTATTATTTTACACTCTCACTCTCTCTCACTAACATTATTTCCCACTTTCTCAATTCTTTTACTCTCTCCCCCTCTCTCTCACTATAACAATATTTCTCACTTTCTCTATTCATTTACTCTCTCTCTCTCTCACTCTCACATACACACACATAATTTCTCACTTTCTGTATTCATTTACTCTCTCTCTCTCTCTCTCTCTCTCTCTCTCTCTTTCTCTCTCGCACGCACACACACACACAACTTCTCACTTTCTCTATTCTTTTACTCACTCTCTCTCTTTTTCTCTCTCTCTCATTAGCCCCCTTTTCTCAGTCCACACTTTATTTCAACCACACACATTATAACAGGCCTCCACCTACCTAGAGTAAATTTTTACATAATTACTTCATTTTTTTATAACCCTTTGTTTTCGAAAAATTGTGTGTGTGTGTGAGAGAGAGAGAGAGAAAATGAGAGAGTTAGAGAGGAAGGGAGAAGAAGAGAAAGAAAGAGAGAGAGAGGGAGTGAGAGAGAGGGAGAGAGAGAAAGAGAGAGAGAGAAAGAGAATTTGAGAATTTAGTTGGATTAAGTACGTAAAGAAGAATAATGAAAAATGTTAAAATGAGAGAGTTGGAGACGAAGGGAGAAGAAGAGAAAGAGAGAGAGAGAGTGAGAAAGAGAGAGAGAGAGAGAGAGAGAGAGAGAGAGAGAGAAAGAGAATTTGAGAATTTAGTTGGATTAAGTACGTAAAGAACAAATAATGAAAAATGTTAAAATGGGAGAGTTGGAGACGAAGAGAGAAGAAGAGAGAGAGAGAGAGAGGAAGAGAGAGTGAGAGAGAGAGAAAGATAAAGAGAAAGAAAGAGGAAGAGAGAGAGTGAGAGAGAGAGAAAGAGAGAGAGAGAAAGAAAGTGGAAGAGAGAGAGTGAGAGAGAGAGAGAGAAAGAGTGAGAAAGTGGAAGAGAGAGAGTGAGAGAGAGAGAGAGAAAGAGTGAGTGAGAGAGAGAGAGAGAGAAAGAAAGTGGAAGAGAGAGAGTGAGAGAGAGAGAGAGAAAGAGTGAGAGAGAGAATTTGAGAATTTAGTTGGATTGAGTACGTAAAGAACGAATAATGAAAAATGTTAAAATGAGAGAGTTCGAGAGAAAGGGAGAAGAAGAGGAAGAGAAAGAGAGAGAGAGAGAGAGAGAGAGAGAAAGAGGAAGAGAGAGAGAGAGAGAGAGAGAGAGAGAGAGAAAGAGGAAGAGAGAGAGAGAGAGAGAGAGAGAGTGAGGGTGAAAGAGAGAGAATGGAATTAGACTTTCCACTTTCCAGGTTAGAGAATTATTAATCTATTTTAGCAACAAGAACGAAACCTACAACTCATGCTTGGATTAGGCCGTTAGACACGACTGTACCATTCAGCTGAAACCAGACGTGTCTTTTGATCCGCTGCCGGTCATCGACCTCCATGTCCATCCAGCGCAATTTCGCAACGCAACTCGATTTATTTCGACTTCAAAGCTCGAAAAGTTTATCAACATAACTTTAACAGGGATTGTGAAAAGTTGCATCAATTTACCTTGCCAGTAGCAGCCGAGCATGTCGACTCTCATGCACGCCGTCCTAACGTGCAGCGAGTAAGGGAGGAAACGAATTTTGCTCGCAATTATAACTGGGTCGACTTTCTGTTCGACGACGGTGTACGTGTTCGTATTTCCCGTGAGTTTCTGAAACAGAATAAAAAGGCACATTTAAATTAGAAAAGTTTTATTATTAAGATTTCTTTGTTGTAATTTGATTTAAATATTTAAGATGTGTTTTTCTTTCTTTTAATAGACGTATTTTTGTATGGAAGCGTAAAATGTGATAAGAAAGAATATAGGAGGACGAAGAGAAAGTTTTTAAATTTAATGATTTAAATTGTTTATCGGTTTTGGGTTTTTATTCCTCTTCTGGGAAATGCTGGTTATTTCATTTGTACATTGTAACATGTGTAACCTCATTTTCCTCTTAGTTACAATCTCACCGGAGTTCGTGTGAGCACAAAAGGCCGTTTTTGTTCGTACTTATCATTGTCAGCTGCTGAAAAATTATCAAATCCATCAGTTTTCGGAACAAAACAACATTGGCCAAGCACGTGTCAATTTATCGTTTTTCAACAAAACAACGTCAAAATGATATAAAGAGCGATGATTTTTAAGAATCAGTACCACTTAAACACCGCGAACAATAAAAAATAACCGGTAAGACAATAATGATATATCAAGAAATTCAACTAATTTTTAACTCAAACTAATATTTTTACAATATATTACATAATATCCGAGGACTATTACGAAATAAATGGTTCTTAAAAAATCTCAGACACTTCATAAATGTTATCCACGTGGGAAGAAGTGACATTTTCCTTGTAAAGCTCGTGCCCTTCAGTCAACTGGGTCGGCTTCCCCATCGGGCAACCCCTAATCGTAAACATAATAATAACCCCCAAAATAATTCTTTAACATTCTTTACAAAACACAAAATTTAAAAATAATACAGCCGAAAAATAACATTCTCTCAATTATCTTACGTTATTATTTATTGTAGATACTTGACATAGATCGTCGTAGATTAAAGAGAGAGAGAGAGAGAGAGAGAGAGAGAGAGAGAGAGAATGAATGAATGAATAAATAAATGAATGCGGTGTATTTACAGACAGACAGGGAAGTACGTGAAGAATGAGTAATGAAAAATGTTAAAATGGAAGAGTTGGAGAGGAAGGAAGAAGAAAGAGAAAGAGAGAGAGAAAAAGGATTTGTTGATGTAGTTGGATTGGGGTCGTGAAATAGAAAATAAAGATAGAATGGTGGATAGTTATAAATGTAGATAGACATAAACATAGATAGATATAAACATAGATCGATATAAACATAGATAGAAATAAGTAGAGAGAGAGAAAGGGGGAGGGAGAAAAAGAAGGAGAGGGAGAGGGAAAGAGAGAGTGAGAGAACGAGAGAGAGAGAGAGAGAGAATTTGAGAATTCAGGTGGATTGGGCATGTAAAGAACGAATAATGAAAAATGTTAAAATGAGAGAGTTGGAGAGGGAGGAAAAAGAAAGAGAAAGAGAGTGAGAGAAAAAGAGAAGGATTTGTTGATGTAGGTGAATTGGGCTCGTGAAATAGAAAATAAAGAAAGAATGGTGGATTGTTATAAATATATTCACTAATTTCGTGGTCCGCTTGACCAATTAATTAAGGTTTTTAGTTGAGATAAAAATTCAATGGCACGAGCGGAATTCGAACCCACGATCTTCGGCTTGATACGCCGGTGCTCTACTACTTGAGGTATCGTGACGTCGATCCACTCGGACACTAACGTCCCATCTCAACCCCACCTTTTGAGTTTTCCCTCGTTTTTGCCATTTTTCAAAAAATCAAAATTCAAAAGGTGGGGTCGAGTGGATCGAGGTCACGATAGCTCAGGTGGGAGAGCAGGAGCATATCTAGCCGAAGATCGTGGGTTCGAATCCCGCTCGTGCCATTGAATTTTTCTCTTAACTAAAAACCTTATTTAATTGTTATAAATATAGATAGATATAAACATAGATAAATATAAGTAGAGAGAGAGAGAAAGGGTGAGGGAGAGGGAGAGGGAGATGAGAGAGAGACAGAAAGAGAGAGAGTGAGAGTGAGAGAGGAGTGGGAGGGAGTGAGAGTGAGAGAGAGAGATAAGAGAGAGAGAGAGAGAGTGTGGGAGAGAGCGAGAAGGGAACTTAATCATTGCTGCCCCATTGACCGTTGACGCACCATTTTACTTTATAGCAGGGCGTATAATGAAGAATCTAATAGCAGTTGTAATAAATAACAATTAATTTATATATTAATAACATTCTAGTTAATATGCTTATTATTATAAACAAATAATCAATGTCACCCGCTGGAAAACTAGAAATTAATCAATTGCAATTGTAATTAACTGAGACGTTAGAAGCAATTAATGGCCACTGGTAATAATCCCGCGGTATGTATATTTCAACAAGATATATATAAATTGATAATATTCGCGATATATAATTATTTCTGATTATATTATATTTGTTTCTTAGTCTTTGTTGCGACAATAGGGTTCATTTCAACGTACAAATGATTATTTCAAATTAGGAAATGTTGTTGAAATTAAATAGTGTTAATTTGAAATAGAAAAGAGTTTATTTGAAATCAAGAATGCTTAGTTTCTCGCAAAAAATAGTTAATTTCAATTTATAAAGAATTCATTTAAAATCAAGACGGGTTAGATTGGTGGGAAGAAGATTAATATCAAATTGAAAATGGTTATTTGAAATTAGGAAAGGTTAAGTTGAAATTAAATGGTGTTACTTTGAAATTAAAAAAAGTATTTGAAATTAAAAAGGGTTTGTTTGTCGCAAAAAAATTAATTTCAAATTAAAAAGAGTTCATTTAAAATTAAGATTGGTTAGTTTGGTGGGAAGAAGAGTTAATATCATATTAAAAATTGTTAATTTGAAATTAAGAAAAGTTAATTTGGTGCGACAGAAGGGTTCATTTCAACTTGAAAAGGATTACTTGAAATTAGGAAAGATTAAGTTGAAATTAGATCGTGTTAATTTGAAATAAAAAAAGAATTCATTTGAAATTAAAAATAGTTTGACGCAAAAAATGTTAATTTCAAATTAAAAAGGATTAATTGAAAATTAAGAAAAGTTAATTTGGTGCGACAAAAGGATTCATTTCAACTTCAAAATAATTACTTGAAATTAGGAAAGATTATTTTGAAATTAAATGTGTTAATTTAAAAAAATTATTTGAGATTAAGAAGGGTTAGTTTGTCGCGAAAAATAGTTGATTTCAAATTAAAAAGGGTTAATTTGAAGTAACTCACTTTGAAATCAATGTGCGGAGGCTAATTTGAAAAAGGATACCGGCATTTGAAAAAAAGTCTCATAGACAATCATGGAAAAATTATAGTTTAAATTAAACATTGTGTTTATTTGAAATAAAAACAGTTGATTTGAGATTAAGAAGGGTTAGTTTGTCACAAAAAAGGGTTAATTTCAAATTAAAAAGAGGTAATTTCAAATTAAGGAAATTTAATTTGGTTCGGAAAAACGGTTCATTTCAACCAGAAAAAGATTAGTTGAAATTAGGAAAAGTTAATTTGAAAATAAATCGTGTTAATTGGAAATAAAAAGAGTTGATTTGAGATTAAGAAGGGTTAGTTTGTCGCGAAAAAGAATTAATTTCAAATTAAAAAGGGTTAATTTCAAATTAAGGAAATTTAATGTGGTTCAGAAAAAGGGTTCATTTCAACCTGAAAAGGATTACTTGAAATTATGAAATGTTAATTTGAAAATAAATCGTGTTAATTTAAAGTAACAAGAGTTGATTTGAGATTAAGAAGGGTTAGTTTTTCGCGAAAAAGGGTTAATTTCTAATTAAAAAGGGTTAATTTCAAATTAAGGAAATTTAATTTGGTTCGGAAAAAGGGTTCATTTGAGGTTATAATAGAGTTAATTTGAAATTAAGAAGGTTTTATTTGGTGCAAAAATCGTTAATTTTAACTTTAAAAATGGTTTAATTAAAATTTAAAAAATGTTAATTTAAACTTAAAATGGGTAATTTGCCGTTAGGAAAAGTTAATTTGTTGCGACAATATGGTTCATTTCAACTTAAAAATGGTTATTTGAAATTAGGAAAGGTTAAGTTGAAATTAAATAGTGTTAATTTGAAATAAAAAAGAGTTTATTTGAAATCAAGAATGGTTAGTTTGTCGCAAAAAATATTAATTTCAAATTAAAAAAGGTTAATTGAAAATTAAGAAAAGTTAATTTAGTGCGACAAAAGGATTCATTTCAACTTGAAACTAATTCCTTGAAATTAGGAAAGATTGAAATTAAATGTTAATTGAAATTAAATGTGTTAATTTTAAAAAACAAACAATTTATTTGAGATTAAGAAGGGTTAGTTTGTCGCGAAAAAGGGTTAATTTCAAATTAAGGAAATTTAATTTGGTTCGGAAAAAGGATTCATTTCAACCTGAAAAGAATTACTTGAAATTAGGAAAAGTTAATTTGAAAATAAATCGTGTTAATTTGAAGTAACAAGAGTTGATTTGAGATTAAGAAGGGTTAGTTTGTCGCAAAAAAGAGTTAATTTCAAATTAAAAATCGTTAATTCGGTGGAAAAATCCGACATAGACAATTTCGAACTATCTGCTAATGAATTGGTAATAAACCTGTTGGGTTAAAATTTGATCGTTTCAGATCATTTTAGTTGTTAGTGGATCTGTGTATTATTTTGATGGATATTTTGTTCCTAACCATTCGCTGAAGTTGCTAAAATCGATATGCCGATCAAATTTACCAGAAACGACCAAATTGAGTCTGGACGTTTCTTTCATTAAATTTAATACGTATAAAACTTTAGAAACAGACTATTTTATGTATAAGTTATAATTATAATTTTTTAAATTAATTAATTCTCAAAGTACTCTTTGTTTATTATTGTTTCTTTGGGAATATCAAAGTGTGTTGATATTGTACATGAGAAGGGATAATCTTCGCTATGGGATCTAAAATCGTCTATCAACGGCCGAAGCGATTTCGATCTTAATTCCCAATTCTCCTAAGTGGTTGAATCCTTGAAGTCTTTGATTTAATAATATACGGCATAATTCCCTAATGGTGTTAGTCGCTACTCCTCTAAATTAAAACCAGTTAAGGGTGAG